CACTTTGTCCAAAAGTAACTTGAGTTTTGTCTCAATAATGCCCGGAAGAAAACCACATCTGTCTAAAAATGGGAGAAGATTAATGTACAGAAAGATATGATGTTTCTATTGTCCTCAACAAAAAATGAACAACAAAAAAATGTACCCGAGTGAAAGAGAAATTCAGTGGCTCTCATAGGTAGCTCAGTGTAACTCTTCTACAGCTATGGAAACTTTTCCTAAGGACGTATCCTACCGTCATCGTACATGTAAAAAAAACCCAACAGTTTGCATTGCGACATTTGCTGCTCACATAAGTTTTACTTAACAAAGATTTATTTTCGGTAAAAAAAAAGTCACTGCAGTGCATAGAGGATTATTTTTAAATGAGATCTATATTTATAAACACATAGATACAAAAATAATAAACTATTGTATATGCCTCTAAGAACATGATTTAATTGACTTGTTTATTCCTGTTTTCTTCTTAACAAAAGACTTGAATATGAATCATTTATTTAAAAGCACTTAATATTTTCACAAAATTTAGAAGTTGAACATCAAAGAAAGACGTGTTCCTTTGTTTGCATTTTATTTCCTTCAAATGGTAGGGGGTGGAAAGCCTTGATATTCAACATCCAAGCTTCATTTTCAACAAGAATCAAAAAATTGTCGAAGACAAACTGTTTTTCATCATACAAATGACTTGATCACAGATAATAAAATTGCACAAACCTCAAACCCTAAATAACCATGTAAATGGGTTCTGTGTTTTTTGAGACAGATGGTGGATCACAACAGTGATGGTTATGAATTCCAAAAAGATTGCCCTCCAGAATATAACAAAAAGTGACTGGAGAAGTGATTTAAAATATAGTTAAAGTGAAACCAAAATAGAAATAATCACATCAATTTTAAACAGATCAAGAAGACAGAAACAGAGAGCATAAAGATTGTATTAAAACTACTCTGAGAAGAAAACCATTCTGAGTTGAAATATTATGTATATGTTAAGGAAATTGAAATGTGTTTCAATAGGATGAGTAAAGCTACATGTTTTATTCCATGTCATGTCCAAGACTCTAGAGAACTACAGCTTCCTGTGTTTATCAACCGCCTTATCATTTGCTACAGTTTTCAAAGGCATGCCCACCAACCCCTGTCATTGGTCATTGTTGGGAACTCTTAATCTCCTATTTCTAGCTCTTAGCTGGAACTATAATGGAAGAGAATTACAATCTAATTAATGCAATCTTGCATTTCAGTAAAACTCAAAAGAATCCAGACTAAAGTATAAACTACCCTATGAAGGTAAGAATAGACAGTCATTATTTGTCAAAAGGTCAATAACAAGTAAACTCCAGGAAGGTGTGGGCAAACACGGTTTGGCAAAAAAAAATCAGGACCGCTAATTTCAACGCTGACTCCCTTGACATGTATTTTAAGGTCGTTTAGCTATATTGCTTTCTATGTACACACCACCTGCTCCTGCACACATCCTCAGCCTCGTTTCCCACAACTCGTCCCCTTTCTCTGCACTCCAGCTCAGCCAGTGTTCTCTCAGGTTGTGCCATGCTCCTTCCTGACTCAGAGACTTCACATCAGCTCTTCTGCCTGGGCCTACCTCCCCATTAACCAGGGTAATTCTTATTCAGGCTTAAATCATCTTTGTCACTTCCCCTCCTACAACTTCACAGAAACTTGCGGGTTCTTTTCAGTATAGTCATCCCAGTTGTCATTAATTGTAATGTCTGATTCTTGGGTAAATGACAAACTGCAAAAGAAGAGGGATCTTCTCTTTTTTGCTTTTTTGCACAAACTATAGTCCTGGTACCTAGTACAGGCATAGTTTAATGAATGTTATTTAAATGGCAGGATGAATGAAAGATTCTCCCGGTAAGGTATTATTTGAACACTTCACCAAATCCTGCTGCCGCATATGCAGAGAGCAATGCCTTGAGGTCCAAAAGAAAAGCCTCTTCTGGATATATAATTGCTTGGCTTTACTTACCTTGGAGATACAGGTGCAAACTCCAAGATTTTCCCTATGGATATGTTGGTGACCAGAAAAAGTAACAGATGCCTGGAATATAGGATTAGATGGGAATTGGAAAATGTCTCTGGCCTAGTTTCCTTGGAGAGGGAAGTGACTGGCCCCATTAAGCTTAATTGGTGTATGGTGGAGACCTTATGGACTGTGGCAGGGAGAGAGCCTCCTGACGCACAGACTATAAGTGGTAAATGACAGAGGGTCTTCATGAGACCTGAAGTGATTTCATGGAAACCTGGAGCATATTATAATCTACTTCAATATAAAGGTTGTCAATTATTTTAACATATGCAATGTGGTCAAAGTCCTTATGAGAGTAGAGCCCCTGGTCTTGGGAGCAGGATAATTCTAACAAACACCATCAAGGTGAGTCTGAACCAGTGGAAGATCTCAGTAACACCCACAGATCTAAGAGGAAAAGTTCTACTATTGCCAAGGTGCACTGCTGATCTGCACTGTGTTATACGTTATGAAAGTCTAGTTCACGGAGACCTGACTCCTTGTAGACAGACCTATCAGACAGTTCTGCTCAAAACTGTATTTCTAAGTTGATGTAGTATTAACATTCACGGATGCTTTAATTTTGTCCCACCGACCACCAGGAAGTTTTTTAAATATTCACCTGTGACACCTTCTTGGAGAGTAACAATGTGCACAACACATTGAAGGGAAGTCATGCACTGAAGAAGTCTTCAACTTGCTTGACTGTAAAACTTCTATTTTGGAAAACATTTTTGTGTCATTCAGAATAGCCTTAGGGAAGTTGCTGTATCAAATGACCTCTAAATTAACAAAGTTTATTTCTCTTTCCTGCTCCACATTCATTGTTGGCTGACTGAAGATCCTGTGCCATGTGGTCCTCACATGGGGATCTATGCATTTTTGGTTGCTACTGTAGCAGGGAAGGTGAATGTGGAGGATAGACTGTTCCATTATGGGACCACTGTCTGTCCCCCGAGCTGGACCCAGGCCGTAACAGAGGTTGCTTTCCGTAAGTCCCCCTTAGAGACTGTCTGAATGTACTTGATGTTCTTCTGACATAAATCGACACCCTTCCCTGACTCCTGCTATGTGCTGATTCCTGGAACAGGTTGTTGTTCCGACCCGGTGAAGCATGAAAAGTAACTTCTGTACCTGGCAGCATTCACACACAAGTACCTGCCACTATCCACGTCTTCACCCGATATAATTCTTTGGCACCTGATAAGTGGCCCAGGGATCCATGTTGTCTTGCAGGTTCCCAAGATATGCCTTATATGTACCATAAGTTTCCCTTAGTCAACTCTATTATGAGATGGGAGTAGCCAGCCTCTTTTTTTGGTCTTTCCCTGCCTTTTGTTTACAAAGGTAGATTTTCAGTCTTGGAAATTTTCCCTGTGTCTATGTGTACAAACAGTGAGCTCTGGAAGTTTTCACAGTGAAATGTTCTAGCTTGAAAGTCATGCTTGATATGTTGGCTCATAACTCATTGGCTAGACATTGCCCCACCCAACCAGGAGGGCTGACGAGGTACTGTCCTACCATGCACCTGGAACGTAGACAGACAGAAATACTCACTGGACATCACTGATAACAAAACCTGTTGACCTGACTGAATTTTTAGTGGTCATTGAAATACAGTTTGAAATCACTGCTGTTCGTGGTTTTAAAAATAAAAAATGATAATAATTACTATTCAGGAATGTTTACCACCTATGGTAAAGTTGCATGACCATACTCAACCAGGAATAAAAAATGGGAGGCTCCTTTGGTTTTCACACTTATCTGGGTGGGGGTGGGGGGAGATGATACTAAGGAGTGTCAAAATTAGAATATTTTATGGAAACAATTTTTTTTCACTCACTTAGTCTCTAGTAAATTCCCACAACAGGTAAAATCTTTTCCCAGCTAATTTTTCATTGTTTCTCTCAAATACACATACTATATGATAGAAAGCATAGATAATTCCACAAAACAGACTATTTCTAGGTTACTAGAGGGAGGTATAAATGCCCATTTACAATGTCTCCTTCAGAGATGAGTGTCCATGCTCTCATCGGACAAACCACATAATGGCAATGAAGTTGGCATAGAATTCATTTAAAAAATTAAGCGCATTTTGTACTACTTTCATAACTTTTGGAAATTAATTTCTGATAAAGTCTACCTAATCAAATTATCTAATGCCTTGGTATCTTGTCTGAGAGTTGTCCATAACTGTATTGCATAATGATTCTGGATAAAAAAGGCAGTGATGAGGTTCAGAAATAGTACCTGGCTTTTAAAATGTTATCCTCTACATACCAAACACAATGAAGGTATTGTACTTAGTGGGTATTTAAAAGTCCTTAATTCACTGTTTCTGTGAGAAATACAGGGTCTGTTAAATTCATGGCATTTACTCAGCCACCTCCAGTTCCTCCCTGGTTCTTCTTCACGTATTTCCTAAATACAATCATGATTAAATTACCTGACATGTAAAATGCTTTGAGAAAAGCTTGGCACATATTAGTCACTAAATCTTTGTTGTTATTACTGTTATTATTTCATGTGTTACAAGGATGCTTTATGCGTCATGATCTCAGAGATTCTAAAGTATGGTTGGGTTTAGCAAGTTCAATCCAGTGTCACTGGCAGGGAAAAAGGCTACTATGTCAGGCTTCTTCTATATTATATTTTTTCTTTTGGGGGACAGAACAGGCAAATCACCTTAGAAGTAGTCAAAGTGACCAAGAATATGTTTGGGAGACTTTGTGTGTTTGTAACTCTATATAAATGTTACCAAGTGATTACCTAAATTGCGAAACTTTGAGAATAAATTAAAAAGAGTTTTGGAAAAGTCTACCACAAAGATGATTAAAACAACTCTTTCTCATACTGTATTACCTTCAGACTGTAAATCACTTGCAATGTTATTAAAGTACTTCACTATATATTTTATTTTATAATAATGAATCTGGTATGCCCACTTTCCTTTGCTTTGTTATATACATCATTCAGTCCATGCATTGAAAGAATCATCTTGATGTCCAGTTAATTCTTCTGGTGATTGTTCCAGAGAAGCTGACTCTTTGGGTTTCAATGAAGTCCTCTCAGAAGGTATCTTAGTTGCCTCAGAAGGTATCTTAGTTGCCTCAGAAGGTATCTTAGTTGCCAAGGCTTTTGCTCCCCAGAAAGACTTTACTGCCGGCCTGGGAGAGTAAACAGAAACAAAAGGAAAAAATCTCTTATATGAAGTGAAAACTAAAAATAGACTTATATTTAATTTTCTCTTTAGAAATACAGAAGTGCCACCTTAGTCACAGTTTATTTTTAGTGTGTGATACATCAGTTGCCTTGTGATAGTATAGTCCTGGATGTAATTCAGTGTAATACTCATGTATGTATTAGAAATATTCTCATATAAATATATCGGTTGGTTACAATAACCAACTTGGGGTGTTATAGTAATTGCAACTGGACAAATATTCATTCAACAAACTTTTAAAGCAACTACCATGTATAACTGTAAAAACTGCATTTAAAAGCTCTCTCATGGCTGGGAGGCAAGTCAGGAGATTAGGTAGCCTGTCTGAGGGCAGTCGCAGCAGGAATGAAGGGAGTTAGTTTGAAGATACAGGCGAGAGGCATTGTGGGCAAGGCTTTGGATTCATCTGACAAGGGAGGGGCTGAGAGGAGGACATCGACCAAGGTGAGACTCGCTTTCAGCCCTTCACCTACCAGTTTACAATTACGAAGACCGTTACAAAGGTTACACATGTGCACATAACAACTCCTACGGTCAGCACAAAAACCAGGGCTGCATCAGTGTCTGGTTGTCTTGGTCTTTCCATCTGCAGCTCTAGAGGGAAAAACACATACCTGATGGTTATTACTACTGGGAAAAAGTAAACAGACAGCTAAATGGAAACTTTATGCCTGAAAAAAACCCTAGAAACATACAGAAAGAATTAATGAACAGAAAGTTACAAATTAACTTGCTCTGCATGTTCAAAATGTCCTTTTCAGATAAGCAGGAAGTTGACTTTGACAATGAACATTCTGGTACCCACCACTGGATACTACCAATAACATTTTACTATCCATCTATTTATCCTTCTATCCCATCTTATATTTTTTATACATTTCAGAAAAATTCACTGATGTCTGTACGCTCCCCAGCAAAATTCTTCAAGTAGCATATAATTAATTATAGTTTATTATTTGCTTATGTTTCATCCTTTTGAGGTAAAATTTCAAACAATAAATTACACCATGATCTTAAATGTACATTTGTTTACCTTTGACAAATGCAAACACACATGTAACTTAAACCCCTATCAAGACACAGAAAATCACTACACCTCAAAAAGTTCCCTTGAGCCCCTCCCAATTAGTCCTGCCCCATCTTTCTGAGGCAACAACTATCCTAACTTTCTTTTCCACCGTACACTGGTTCTGCCTGTTCCAGAGCTTCATGGGAAAAGTATGCATTCTTTTGTGTAGGGCTTTTTAAGTCAGTATGATGTTTTGAAGAGTCACCGATATTTGCAAGTGCATCAATAGGTTTGTTTTCTTTTTTTTACTAATGAGTAGTATCCCTCAATTTGTTTATTCATTCTCTTATTGATGGGCATCTTGGCTGTTCCAGTTTGGGGCTATTATAAATAAACTGCTCCGAACATTTTTGGAGAAGTCATTCTGTGAACACACATTTTCATTTCTCTTGGATAAATATGTAAGAGTGGAACAGCAGGGTCACAGAGTAGAGGTATGCTAAGTTTTCCAAGAAACTGCAAGATTTTTTCTTAAACTGTTCATAATGATTGTACATGTTTTATAATTTTTTCTCCCAGATTTTGGCTGCTTATTCATTTTTCTAATGATTTCTTTTAATTAACTGAAGTGTTTAATTTTGGTGAAACCTAGTTTATCAATGTTTTCTTCTACGGTGATTGTTTCCTGAGTCATCTCCAAGAATCCCTTGCCTACTCCTGAATCATGCAGATGTTCTCCTCTGAATGTTCTCCTTTTTAAAGCTTTATGGATTTAGCTTTTACATTTAGGACTATAATACATCTCTGATTTTTTACATGTTGTAACATAGCAGTTGAAGCTTGTTTTTCACACAAGTATCCACACACCATTTTTAAATCAGGCATCCTTTCCCATGTCATTATGCTCTTCCTATAAATAAGTCAAGTAGAGACAAAGCCATTCTATCATATGTGTTATAACACTGCTACATTGTAAATTGGTGAAAAGCCCATTTACATCAAGTATTACTTACTTTGTGCATTGTATAGCTTTCTTGTGGTTCTTTCTTGTCCCTAAATCATAGAATCATAAAAGACTTAACTGAGGAACGACCAGATGCCGCTATTGAATCACACTGGTAAGTAAATCAACATTCAAGGAGGTTTAATGATTTCTGCAAACTATGTTTTATGTATTTTTATATTTTAATTTTGGTAAGTACCATTATATCAGAAGTAGTCTCCTATATAGGCAATCTCAACTGTTTATTGTCTGAATGTCTCTTTCTATTCTTTACATATCATGGAGTGTAATTTCCCATTTTCCTTAGTAATTCTGGAGTTATATATTCAGTTCAGTGATCTCACTAAATAGTGCCAAGTATGACAGATAAATTGCATCATATTTATATTCCAACATGGTTGAATTTTTAAAATATTTTTAGTTTTGATAATTTTAGGTTTATAGAAGCTGTCAGGTTTTTTAAAGCTCAAGTAAAAAATATCCTTTCAGATTAAAACCTGAGAAGAAATGCAAAATTCCTTTCCATTTATCTACTACCCTGTAACACTAGCCAAGAGAGGGTGAGGAATAAGCAGTATGAAGATTTTAGTTCATTTCAATAGTAGTGTCCTTACAGGGGTCATTTAGATTACTTTTATATCTAATAACAGAAAAGGCTACATTTCCTATTGAAATTTTCTAATCAAAAACACACTCAGGTTTTTTTAGTAAAACTCAGCTTATATTTTATTAGTTTCCTAGGGCCATCATAACAAAGTACCACAAACTGGTTGACTTAAAAACAAAGAAAATTTATTATCTCACAGTTCTGGAGGCTGAAATTCTGCATACAAGGTATGGTAGTGCTGTGTTTCCTGCATAGATTCTGCGGGAGGGTCCCTTCTCTCCCTCTTCGAGCTTTTGGTGGCCCGTGTGTTCCTAGGGGAAGGCGGCATAACCCTCTAACTCTGTGTTCTCACAGCTGTCTGCTCTTGAATGTCTTTGCGTCTTCGCATGGCACTCTCCTCTGCCTCTCTGTGTGTGTCCAAATTTCCCTCTTCTTATAAAGACACATCTTATACAGATGTATCGGATTAAAATCCCACTCTAACATGTAAGATCCTATCTTAACTGAACTCATTACATCAGCAATGACCCTATTCCCAAATATGGTCATGTTCTCAGGTTCTGGGAGTTGGAACTTCAAAATTTCTTTTTAGGGGATGCAGTTCAATCCAAAACAATGCCTAATGATGAAGGACCACTCTTATAGAAGAGCAAAGTCTGATATATAAGGGAATAGCTGGGAAATTTTTATTAAATCACATTTACCTTAAAAACATTTCAATTTTGTATTTGTTTTAAGCCAGCACCATATGGTGGACATATATAGCCAACACATTTGTTCAATGTCCAAACATGCAAAGGGTCTGTGACAGTGGTGTACCCAATTGTCATTTTAAAAGAAACTAATAAGTCCAAAATGTTCTGAAACCATTTTATCACTTAACTAGTGAATGCACTGAGATGGTAGTGTCGCCCCACCCCGCTAAACTGCCATGGCGGAGAAGTCAACTGGGTCTCATTTAAGGGCTGACACCTGGGTGTCTGTGTGCCAGCCCCCCCACCCCCCATTTATGCACTGTCAAATGCCTGTTGTCCTCTGATTATGGGAAGAGCTAACCACTGTGCAGTCCCAACAAAACCAGTCTAGGGAGATAAAAACCAAGAATGGTTCCTGAGATCTGTATCTTGAACTGGACTCATTGGTCTATCTTCTGGTTTGATTCTTTTTTGACTTTTGTAGCACTTTATTGAAATTATCCTTTTAATAACACCTGATATCCCAACACAGGAGTAAGATTATTAGCTTTCACCATCAAGATGTTTTTTTAAAGATACTTTGTGTCTTTACACAACACATCAAAGAAAACTACAGTTTATTTTTTAAAACCATCCCCAAAATAGTTTAGGCTTGTTTTCAATTCAATAAATGGTGTTATTATGCTGCATGTATCTCAAGATTACAGCATAAATTATTTTCATAGGATTAAGAAGGACTTTCAAGAAATCCACGAACTTCCTTTAAAATTACAGGTAACTTTTGGCATGACTGTGCATGTGGGCATTTTCCAAGGAAAGGCCTCCTGAGCCTTGACGGGATTCTAAAAACCCTGTGACCAAACCCCCACAATTGCAATAACCAAGATGATGACAACGACAAAAATGGTTAAGAAGTCTGAACTAATGAAAATAATTATTTGGATATAAAAAGACATTGCAGTTTAAATCAAAAGGACATGCACATGGATCCATTTTTCAAGGGAAGCAGTTTCTAACATGTGAAACGATGTTCAGGACAAGATTTGCCTTTTGTGACTGACATAGATTGATGACTTTGATTGTTTCATCAAAAAATATTTTCTGCAAATGAGTAATTTTTAAGACATGCCCTGATATAACACTTCTTAATTTTATTTAATTGTACCAAAATTTTTATAAGCATTCATGAGAATCCCAGTTATCCATTTTCGCTTTTGTGATAGAAGCAAAAGTAAGAATATAATCCAGGCTAGAGGACTGTTTTTCAGGGATATTTCAGGAATACACCAGTTTCCCAAAGTGAGGCACGAATGATTTCACTTTGAGAAAAAGAAATGAAGCACTACCTTGTAGAAAGTGAAAGGGATATAGAGCAGCGGTTCTCAAACTGTGATCTCTGCCAGCAGCACCTGGGAACTAGTTAGAATTGTAAATTCTTGTGTCAGCCCTGCCTGCGATCTACCCAACTGGAAACCCTGTGGGAAAGACTAGCCATCTGTGTTTTGAGAAGCCCTCCAGGTGATTTTGATGCTCTCTAAAGTCTGAGATAAGCAAACTAAAACATTGCTGGGCACTTACCATTTGATGTATGGACTATGAATTTAATAGATGCTACTATTTCATCATTATCCAAGGTATCACACTCAAAAGTCAAGGGATGACTTTGCCTTCTTACTTCCAGGGTTGCTGAATCATTTACAAGTATAATGGGTTGCTATTTTAAAAGAAATAAAGTATTAATATTCGACATGCAAACTTAACATCAGGGAACAATTTTATTTCCTGTAACCCCCCCCCAGAAGTCTCTGTCTCTCAGTCTAGGATAGTAATTAATTATTCACATGGATTTTGGAGTCAGACAATCCAGACATCAAGTACCAATCCTACTACTTCTTGCTTGTGTGACCCTGAACGAGTTACTCTCTGCATTTCAGTTACTTATCTGTAAAATGGGTATATTGATAATAATTACCTCATAGAATAGTTATGTGGATTAAAAGAAACACAAACATTTGGGATATGTCTGGCACTTAATAAACCCTCAATTAATGTTAGCAACTATTATCATTAATACAATTCCTATGTATACAAATAAAAACCTTGCTTCCAAAATAAAATAGTCCTATAAAAAATGAATATTTTTAAGTTCAGATAATAGTTGATTCTAAAACATGTCTGTAAATAATTAAAAAATTAAATTCCAATAATAATAAAGTGTGATTTTAACTTCATTTTTGCAAACTGCTTTTAAAGTGAAAGTTTTCTGACCATCATCAAGCACTGAGAAATATATTTTATCAGTCACTAGAAAGCACCAAATTACATACATTCGTTGCTCACCTGCTCTGGCCTTAGCTGTTTCCAAACATATGTGAAGCGATTTGCAGGAGTTGTATGAACGCATGCAAGTGTGACACTATCAAGACTTTCTGATAGTGGTTTACCCCCTGAAAAGAAATGAAATACATAATGCCACTGAGCAGTGTAAATTACTTGATTACTTTCTGAACAACACTACTTTTAAAAGCCACCTCCAATTTTAAAATCAATTCTATCCTGGAAGTTATCAAACTTATTATTGAGAGTCTGAGTGTAGAAGAACAGAGAGGAGTGATGGATACAAAGATAAAGTCACCAAAAGAAGCAGGTAGGAGATACCATAGTTATCTGCCCCTTCCACAGAATAAATTGTGGAGAAGAGATACAGTATGAGCAAACAACTCAAACTCTATTAGAGACTTTGAGATCTACTACTGGCTTCCAGTTTCCTGGTTACAGACCCCCATTAAATATAATGAAATCTCAGAGTAGTGTAATTTGATATAGAACATCATTTAAATTTTAGGATTACCAATCTACTGACCAAAAGTGTTAAAAGCATTTCACTGTAGGATAGATAGTCTTGACTACAGACTGAGTGAAATAAAGTTACAGTGTATCAGAGAGAATATATGTTAAATTTTAGACATCATTGAGAAATATAAAGCAAAAGCAGAAAGTTAGAGCTATAACTATCTAGAGAAGTGGAATTTTAAGTTTTATTATGACTTCCTTTCGGTATATCAATTCTACTCATGACAACATGAGGTTAAGGATATTTCCCCAGAATAAACTCTACCCCCTTCAGGCTCTCTCCAATAGAGTCCAACTCACAGCCACAGTCTACTGGTCCACGGCATTCTTCCACCCGTACAATACACTTAGATTCACTTCCAGGGCATCCATTTCTTAATATAACTTCTCTAATACCAACACCTTTGGTAAAAGAAATTGGCAAATGTTTGAAAAAAAAAAAGTAAATTCCACAGAACTTTTTCTTTACCATCTAAGTCTTTTTTGAGACTTTTCTCCTAATTTCAGAAATTAAATTCCCAAATTCTGGTTGATAACATTTAAAATTTTTAAGTCCTTCATTTTGAATTATTTCATAAAACAGCATTTCTGAGAGTTACATGTAACACTAGCCCTTCTGGCTGTTACCATTAGAAAAAGAATTCCATGCTTATTTACACTTGACAATGATACATTAAATAAAATTAAAGGGACCTTTTTACTACAGAATTTTGGGGGAAATTTTAATATGCTAATAAATTAACATGTTATTGTGTACAATTTTTCATTGGTCTGACCTGTAAAAGTTTTACATTTTCACATCTTTGAAATTAGAAGGCATCTTAGAATTAAACTGATGGCATGTCACAAATTGGCAGTACTTTTCTTTGTGGAGGTGCATAAATTATGCTTCTTACAGCCAATCAGGTTTTAGATTAAATGGAATACAGGTCACAGGATGTCCCAAATTTATTTGACCATGGTTTTAAGAGGGATAAGGGAGCTTGATGCTTCTGGGGGAAATTCCAAAATTACATTTTAACATAAATAAAATTTTTTAATATTTAGATTTTACAAGAAGTATAGCAGGAAAAACTACTAAGGATCAAATCTCCATTTCCAACAAGATACTCTCTTTAGAATCACCACATATTTTTATAACAAGAAATCACCCTTTATTAACAGATCTCAAATCTCCACTAAGTTTGTCTTTCATCACCAGAATTGAGGGAGGTGATAAAATGCTCAATCAGCAACATGTTGAACATGTACTGGAATAAATAATTGCAGATGAAAAGAGGCCACATACCAAACCTGACAAGCCCAGAAGAGCCTGCACAGGTGGCCTTGCAGACGGGCCTTACAAACCATCCACATAAGATGGTCTGAACATAAAAATTCCTAACTAAAAACAAATAATGGTGGGTAGATACATCTTAGGCCTGTAGTTTCCTTGACAATGGTCAATCTTTACCTTTAGTGAGCCTATTATCTTTCTGCATCTAAGATAACATATCTTTAAAATGTCAGAGTAATCATTTCCAGATCCCTCAAGCCAGAACTGCATGCCTGAGAGCATAAGATCACTGAACCATCATTGTTGTCTTGTCCCCTCTCCTTGCCCCTGCAATAAATACCATCTCTGTGTATGGTAAACACTAATTACTGACTATCCTATACCCACCAATGTAAAAGAATTATGTGTTTCCTTATTTTGCCATTTTTTATCCAGTCCCAGAGATTTCCCCACTTTGCTCTCTCCTGCCCTCTTAATCTACCATCAATGGAAGTCATGTACACTCCTTAAGTCTCCTCCTTTGATTCTAATGTATAAAGTAAGATGCAAAACTGGCATTCTCCAGAGCATTTTCTCAATCTGTTGAGATTTTGCTTCCCAGCAATTGTTGTCAGTTTGGCTCAAATAAACTCATAAAAATCCTCTACAGGTTTGGATATTTCTTAAGTGGACATGACCTATGAAAAGACTGTATAGTCACAGGTTAAGGAATTATCCATCTTGATTTCTTTGTTTACTAAAGTTCCTTTTCCAACTTTTTGTTTATGATTTACAATATGTTAATCATAAAGTCCATTCTCAAGGACAAAAAAAAGTTGAAATCTAGAAATGGCTTAACAATAGCACTTCTCAAAGTTTAGCATGCATGCAAATCACCTGGAGATCTTACTAATATGAAATTCTGATTCAGCAGGTTTTGAGATTCTGTACTTCTAATAAGCTCCCGGGCTATGTGGCTACTCCCTGGACCACATTTTGAGTAGCAACAGAGAGGACTCCATATAAGTCAGGATACGGAAGTTCGAAAGAGGAAAGGTCTCTTTTGATTAAAAGAGGTGCCTAAGAAGGACTATAGTATGCTTCCACTTGAATTCATGAAAGATACCCCTCTAGAAGCACACCTTTATTTTGAAATGCATAAAACACTTTATAAGGAGGTGTCTTATGTATTTATTTATTTAGCCAAAGACAGTTCATTGCAATGATGTGTATACTGTGAGATTTTCTTTAATTCCAAGTAACACTTAAAAATCTGCTTGTGTGTTCCAGAAAAATAAAACTTTTTGACTGCTAAAATATTGTTTTGGGAGTTCCAAAAAATTTTTCAGTAAAGCATTTTTTCCTCTAAATAATTGTCATAAATTGAAAAAAAATTTAAATATTTAAAAATCATTTAGATGTAAAATGTTATCTTTTTTGGTTTATTTTTTTTCTTAGAACTTATCACCATCTGACATATTACATATTTTACTTTTATTTATCACTTTTCCCCAACTAACATATATACACTCTGAAGGCATAACTTCCTCTGCTTTGTTCAGTGTTGTATTCCCAGCACCTATAACAATGCCTGGCATACTGTTAACCACAAAAAAAAAAAAAAAAATCTAAAATCCCCCAAACAGAAAATCATTTGTTGAAGGAACATATGTATAATGCATAATTTCTGAAACACATTTTTAAATAATAGTGTGAGAGAATATATCAATTAGTAGAATTGTCATAAAAATCATTCTCATGAAAATATCTCCCCAGGTACCCACTTAGTCGCCCACCTCCACGAGTTCCACAATATCCTCTACCAAATTATTTCCATATTGAAAATAATGTGACCAAATAAAGCAAGTATTGTTTGTTTAAAAAAAAAAGGAGATGTCTCAAGTAAGCAACAGAAGATATAAATTGCAAATGAATAATCACAGGTTTATTAAATGGATTCTTCTCATTTTCTTTCATTCACTAAGAACTTAAGGTTTAAAAAAAGGCTGAAAATTATCTCAATAGTTAGTAATAGACAGAAAGTGGGACAGTTTCATCAGGGGTTCGGGGGGAGGCAAAGTGGGAAGTTAGTGTTTAATGCCTGCAGAAGTTTTGGGGGAAATGATAAAAAAATTCTGGTGATGGACGTGCTTAATGTGACTGAATCGTACATTTAAAAATGGTAAAAATGTTTATGTTATGTATATTTTACCATACACACTCACACACAAAAGCTATCTCAAACATTTTAGGTATAATTTTTGACCAAAAAAAAATTGTTCTGCTCTGGATCTGCATGTATTTTATGTCTTTTCACCCTCTGGTTTTTGTCTTTCCCTCCCATCACTGTCTTTTTTTTTCCCCAAGGCAGATTCCACTTAAAACAAATTTAATTTCATTATGAATTATCTATTTTTTCAGCATGCTACTCTGTAGTGGTTCTGAAAAGATGGTCTTGTAACCAACAGCATCAGCTTCATTGGTGAACATATTTAGAAATATAAATTTCTCGGCCTCTCTGAAGGCCTACTGAGTTACAAACTCTGAGGAAGCCCAGCAACCTGTGTTTCAACAAGTCCTTCAGGAACTTAGGATGAACAGTTAAGTTTGAGAAACACCAATCTATTATAGAATATGCATTGCCTTAATTTCACCATGTCAGAGATTTTATATCCAATTTCTCTTTATGGAATGATCAAAATAAGCCATAGTCCTTGAATATTATCTCCCCTACAAAATCAATATCTCTTTTCTCCACAATATGACATATAAATTGGAGAAATGTAGAATTTAGTATAGGCTATTTTAAATAAGACAATTTCTTGATAGATTTGCCAACACAATCTGTGGGAAGACATCTGTGAGATGCATGACAAGACTTTTCATCTTCTGAACATCTGTGAGAGAAATAAAGTTTTACTTTGGTGAAGGCAGTGCATGTGCCAAAAAATGTAGGGAGCTGGCTTAATATAAGTCTTAAAGATTATAAACTGATACATCCAACCTTCTAAAGCAATCAGCTTATGTTTTGTGTGTGAATTACAGTCATTAGAAATAGTAATCAATGAAAGATGAGAGTACAAAAATTACAAATAAAAATTGCCACATTATTTTTACCTTTCCTTCCCCCAAATTACAACATTGTTTATGTGCTCTATGCTACTCACCACATGTAACGCTGCACATCCCATATTCTATTTTTCTGATTATTTTCAAATTTCGAACTAAACATAAAGCACAAAGACACATTATTTAATCACATGAAAACTTTTCTAAGTGAAAGATTCTTATTTGGAGATAGAGAATACAACTACTTATCATATGGGAAGCAGACATCTTTAAAGTTTTATTAAATCAGAAAAGCAATACTATTTCTAACACATCTATTATAATTTAAATCAAAAGAAGCTTAAACCTTTAAAGTAATAAATTAAGAAATAACGTGTAAAGAAAGTTTATATTAAACCTTGTATAGAACAAAAATAATTTTTTCATTAGTTTAATACACAGGAAGTTTCAAGTTCTACAAAAGGTCAGGAAAAAACACACAAAAAAGCCAGCTAATCATAAGGCCAATTTTTTTCCAATTCTCTATTTTCCAAAAAATTTGAATATATCCTTTTTGTCCAAAACAGAAGTCTTTATATCAAGTGTTCATTAAAATTATGTGTTATAGATTGATTCTATAGATGGTAAATTATTCCTATAAATTTACTGCAACACTTTATTAGCAGGATAATCTAGGAATATACAAGTATTTGAGTAGTTAAATATCATTGTTTTTAAATCACACAAAAAGGTGCCTATTTTTTTTCATTGTTCTGAAGTTCGGCATGAATTCCACTAGCTATAGTATATAACCAATGCTTCATAGTTCAGATTAGGACTAAAACCTCAAAGGAAAAAAATATTAAATGAGGTGCTAGAGGACAATTTTTAAAGGACATTATATCCTGAGGCAACAATATTACATGGAAAAATTCATTGGAATTGGAGTCTAAATTGCTGCTTCTACCACTAATTAATTAGCTGATTTGAGTTTGACTAAATTACTCAAATTCTGTCAGGCCCAGTTAACCCTTCTGTAAAATTTAAAGAGGAGAACCTACCTCATTTGAACATTGTAAGAATAAATGAGGGAACATGTGTGAAAGCATTCTGTAGCTTGTTTAGTGTTATAAAAATGCTTAAGATATAACCACATTCACACTTTTTGTTCTTATTGATTTCATATAATTGTAAGATTTTTTTCTATTTTTAAGACTGCAAGACAATATTTTCATAAACACTTTTATTATAAACTTATATGCACCAAATGCAGTGCCTTGAATACACAGTAAGTATTAGATGTATTAAATATTGACTTTGTTAAATAAATTATTTGGATTATTGAGATCAATTTTGAATTGACATTTTTATTTGAAATGCTTGGATACTTTCTACTGGAACATTATGAAATAGAAATTAAAAGCCAAATCTTGAACATAGAAAACACAGGTAAGAAAATGAGTACTAGATTACTTTTAAATATAACCTCTTTTCAAAAAAAAGAGGTTACTGTTCTTTTGTTCACTAGCTATGCTATTTTGGGAAATTTACTTAACTTCTAACTTAAAAAAAAATGAGATTCAATCAGATTGTCTCCAAAGTTCCTCTCAATTTTGATTATTGAATGCCCATGAGGTCATTCACGACCTTCTTTTTTTGATGGGGATCCTACAAAAATTGATCAGGATAATTATATTTGTCTGGATTTCAGTGTAGTATTTGTCAAAATTTCCCATTATATACCTATGAGGAAAAAGGAAAAATATGGTCTGCACATCAGCAAAATTTTATGTGTAACTTCTTAAAAAATAAGATATACTGATGTTGATTAATCACTGGTGTCAATGTGGTAGGAGTCCTGTGTCACAGGACTCTGGCCTGGTCAACATTTTTATTAATGACTTAGATAGCATGCTGATTTCATGCTGGTGAATCTGTGGACTCTGCAAAACTAGGAAAGATAGTAAATATGTTAGAAGACAAATATGGATCTAATAATGACAGGGCAGAATACTGGATAAATCTGACAAAATGAAACCATAGAGAAGTAAAGTCCTGTATGTAGAGCTGAAAAGTCAACTGTCCCCAAAATACTTTATAGGTTAAAATGAGAGTTCAATAGTGAGTTTTAATAGGGATCAAGAGTATAACAAGAATTCCCCAAAAATCTACTGGGTCTCAGACTGTGCTGATAAAAGCTTGGGATCCACAATGATGCAGCTAATGGTCTTGCTCTATCATTGTGGTCAAATCCTGAAATGTTCTCTTCACTTTCAGACAGGACACTTCGACTGTTGGTATATATACCATCAGAGTTCAATTGAAATTTTTTAGTTTCTTTTTTGAAAGTTGATTTTTAAGGTTGATATTTCATGATTTTTAATTTCTTAGAGGACTTCCAAAGAAAAAGAGAACATAATGTATAGTCATATTTATATAGAATAGAACTCATTTTATAGAATTAAACTCATCCTATCTTATAATTATTAGGTAGGTCTGTTTTGGGTCACTTTTATAAATATAAAAGAAATAGCTTAATAGTAAATTTATAAATCTTGGATTTATAGTATTAGAGTATCTTAGTGATTTTTCCTATATTCTGAAACATTTTGTTATTTCATCAAAAATAATGATGGTTTTCAGGATTACTTATCAATTATTTCCAACTATGTTTTTTTTAAAAAGACTAAAATAATAAAATGGAAGAATAGTTAGAATTGCCTAGAAAGATGACATAATTGTGAAATAAATCAGCTATTACATCATCCTTTGTTTTCTTATTGCTTTGCCCAAAGTATCATATCATCTCTTAGAAAGATATGAAAGAAGTTTAGAGGTACCTTTCTCATAGTCTTTTTTCAGCTTTCATTGAACACAATTGAGATTTTAGAATTTTTTTTTACTTCCTTTTGTCTTTAATGACAAAGAGAAGAATATTGACAAAGAAAAATGTTTTACAATTATTGGATGAATCAGAAGATGAACATCGAGAAATAGCAGCACTTTGGATGCTAATGCTGATGGTAAAATTGACCACATAAGCAAAATTAGAGATGATATCTTAAATGAATATCCTAGATGAATTCTCCAACTCAAGAATCCACGAATTAACATTATATTTCTAAGAATGAAAAAGATACATGGCATTCTTATCCAGTTAGTCCTTTCAAAAAAAAAAGGACTTGATCCTGAAATGTTTGTGAAAATGAGCCAGACCATACTGTTTTGCTAAAAGGATACAGAGAGCATGCTTTCCTTTTTAAAGCTGTTCATACAACAAAATTTACTTGATAAGGTTTGTAAAGAGACAAATCAATGGCAGGTGTGTATACAAGGGTGAGTGGGAAAAAACCAGAAGACGTAGAAATGAATAAAGTCATTGGACCAATAATTCTAATTGTTTATAAATCTAAGGTGAAAATGTTTTTGCAAATATGGAGAAAGAATATGGCAGTTCTCTTCAACAAATATATGCCTTCATAATTTTCAAAAGTATTGTTTTGACAATGCAAATGCAAAAAGAACAAGAGTAATGATAAGGAAAATTTATTACAGATGTACTTGAAATCTGGAATCAGTATTTACAAGATGGATATATTTCAGATTCATGCATAACCAACGAGCTTTTAGTTGTACTCAAAGTACTTTATCCATACATCTTCAAAACCAAGAAAAATGAACTAAAATTTGGGGTTTTCCACATTTAAACTTATTTAAATTTCCAATAAGTTGTTTTCACTGTGCCTTTATTCTTCCTTTTGAAATTATTTGTAAAATGCCTTAAAAGTAAAAAACAAAATAACCTAAATGTCCAATGGATGGTAAATGGTGTTGAATATTTTTATACTGGTCCACTGAGTATTAAGAGGGACTTAGCCAAATTCTAATAATGATCTGTCAATATTCAGATCTTGGACACCTCAGATTATTTAAAGTTCTGGATTCTACTTTCCCCAGGAAAAAGCAGCGATGTGTGAAATTGTATACATAAAATTCCAGAAGGGCATGGACTCCCTGAAGCTCACCAAAAAAAGAAATGGAGAAAACTGAGAGAACAAATAACTTTCCAGCATTTGAATTTGAATCTAAGGCATAGCTCTATTACCTAGGTTTACCCTAAAGTCCATTTAGCATTTTACACCTAGAACTATCTCTTGACCAGTTTAATACTAAAACTGTCAATTCGATTACTTTTAAAACGAATGTGAAGCAGTAGCTACTGTGCTTTAGAACACATGTTGTTCTCTTCTCTAGTCCTTTTCCTTTTTCACATTTCCAAAGTCAAGGACCTCTCCAACCTCTCTGTAATGTAATCAAGGCAGTAACAAACCTGGGTCCCACCCTTAACCTCAGATAGTCAATTTATTTCTGTCACTGAGGGTCACTATCTGTCACCAGGAAATAAAAGGACTGATATATATAGCACCTATTCTATATGCATAGATGTGAGACTGTCAAGGATATTAAAAGAATCTCAGCTGGGTCATTTATGAGGGAAGGGAATCATTCTCCTCTAGATGGCTGCAAACCTGCAACTGACCTTTTACCTACCAGCATGTGAGTTACGAATCAATATAACATGTACAACAGCTTGTCAATTTTTATTGCTTAATGAGCCAGGAGAATAAGGCAAATTTATGTACCAAGCACAAGCTCATTCTCCCTTGGTTAACATGTTATAATCTAACAAAGCCACTAGTTAGATCCCTTGATAGGTGTTTTCTAAGGCCATTACTCCTTTGCAGTTGGAAATTGAACGAACAAATAAACCACCAAGCTGCAGATGCTCAAGGTTGAGGCTGCAAAAAGCTGACATGGGGCTTTGGGCAGTTTTGTCAGCATATTGATCTATCTAGATGTTTAACAACGGGGGAAACTGTGAGTTCCATTGTGTTCCAACATAAAGCGCAAATATAAAAAGAAGAAAGACCTCGAGCAGTATGGAGCTCCAAAAAAATCTACAGTGGGGAAGGAAAAACAACTGCAGAGGGAGTCAAAATGATTTCAATTTGTGAAAGACCACGCCCTGACTCCTACCACTCCAAAAAAAGTCTTTCTCGCAGTACCTCTGTAGCAACTTCTATACATGGGATTGTTCAGCTTGCTGTGGCCCTAAAACATTAACATGTCTTTCTTCAAGACCATTATGTGTGTGGAAAATGTACAAATTCGGGGCTGTTGGCCAAAGAGCCCTACAAACGTTAACGGGGATCACTCTTACTGTCCTCGGACAAAAAGCTGGGCCTTGCCCTCAACAGGTGCCATGGTACCTACCGTAGGGCCTCCCACCCTCACTATCCTCCTCGGTTTCTGGCTGGGGGATGTGCTCAGGCTCCCCGGTGTCACTCTCGGCCTCCTCCGCCTCGCTCTGGTTCTCGCTCCGGTTCTCGCTCCGGTTCTCGCTCTGGTTCTCGCTCTGGTTCTCGTACAGGTTCTCGTACTGCTTCTCGCCCTCGCCCTCGCCGTTGCCTTCGCCTTCGCCTTCGCCTTCGCCTTCTGCGCGGGCCAAACTGGGATCCTGGATGGCGGTGACATTGGCCCCGCACGCGGACTGGACGCCCGCCAGGAACAGCCAGCCGACAGCCAGCAGCAGTCCCGCGGAGCAGCCCGCGGCCCCGGGCCTCATGGTTTTCGGCCCCACGGCCGCCCAAGGCTCAGTCGCAGCCGCCCGCTCTCGACTAAGAGGTGCGTCGAAGAAAGGAGCCACGGCTCTCCGAACCCTCTCCCCGCCTTGCCGCACCCGGGCAACCACTAAGGCGTCACAGCTCCGCACGCGCGCGACCACCTGGTTCGGGGCTCGGGAGGGAAGTGCGCCGACCCGCCGACGTCACGCCCCCGCCGGCGTCGCGCCTCCGGGGCCTGCGCCTCGCAGCCCCTTCCCTTGGCCTAGAACGTGCTCTCGGCGCCTCCCGCAACACGCGTTCCTTAGCTGGTGAGGCCGGGGCCTGGCCGCGCCCTGGCTCCGCTCCCTCGCTCGGTGCGCCTGAGAGACTTCCTTCCTACGTGTCCTCCTCTCTGAGCCTGACTCCCTCTTCTGTGACTCCTTCTACACTCACTTGGTTTCGAATTCCTTATGCAGAATATCCAACTCCATTTATATAGTGATGGGTTGTCACAACCTTCTTGAGAATGGTGCCTCACACTGCATCCATTTCTGCAAGTGAGGCTCCATTTATAGAAGATACGGGGTCGCACTTTCCTTCCTTGACCTGAACACTGTTGTTAAAGCAGCTCAAGCATGTATTTGCATCTTAAGATTTTGTGCAGTGCCCTCAGCTCCGCGTGGGGCTTCCTTGTGCTAGATTAGGAACTGAGAGAAAGGAGGGTGCAATTATCCGAAGAGGTAGTTCATTCTGTATTTGGAGAACTGATGCTTTTGGAACCAAATCGGTCTTATACTTAGGGGAAAGTAATTTTCTCTTCTAGGAGCAAGTTTCTAAGAGCAGAACTTCTCCCCTCTTTTTTTGTTTGGCAAAAACTCCTGTCTTGATCCTACATTGTGCTTCTTTCTCTTACCTTTGAGCTCATGATAAGAACAAGTCCTCTAATATCCCTTGTTTACTGTAAAACAAGGGTCTCCCACACTTATCTAAACCCAACTTACCTGTTTTCCTGTTTCGTTCATCTAATTTCTCCAAAATAGATGTGCCCCTCACCTTGCATTCTGAACACAGGCTCCAGGCGGCAAGCCTAAACTCAAAGTTTCTGAACTCAAAGTTTCCCCCAAAATCTCAAGTTTATTTATAGTATGTATAATACATAATACAATTATTAAAATGGCTGAAAAGGTTACTGACAATACCAAATGTTGGTGAGAATGCAGAGGAACTGCATCACTCATATTTTGATGGTGGGGATGTAAAATGGTACTGTTTCTCTGAGTGGCTGTACCCCTGTTGTGCCCCCATTCTCTGGCCATGATTTAAAACTATATTGTTACACAATGGAGTAATTTTGTGACAGGAACTGTTGGAAGCCCTTTGCATTTTTGTACCTGGGAATAGTGGTTTCAGATAGTCACAGTATAACCTCTCAGTCTGTCAGATGTTCATTAGCTTCTTGTCTTATTCCAGCCTCTACCTTTCCCACCCCTTTATTTTCTCATCTAATGGAGCTGCCCACAAAGGCCTTTCTTTTCAAAGGTCTTCTTACAGCAATAAGAATTTACAAGGTGTTAAGAAAAGAGTAGCACCCAAAAGATGTTCTTTCTCTATTTTAATAACAAGAGTTGAAAAGGCCATTGAAAATTAAATAATGTTCTACAGAAATGTAGTCAGCACTTTGTGAAATAAGTGTCACATTGTTAATGTCTTGATAAAGAGCATATGGCACTCCCAAATTTCTCTATTTGTGGGGCTGTCTAAGCTGTATTTTCTAAGACTGAATAAGGTACCCTGTCTGTGGTTATAGGTGCATAGCTGTATTCAGCTACATGTGCCCCAGGTTAATATAGAAAACAGAATTTTAGAATTTGCCCTGATCTTTGGGTTTCCCCTGCAATTTTTATGATCACTTAGAGAGAATCTATATTCAGCTGTTACTGTGGAATGTTCTATAAATGTCAATTATATCCTTTTGGTTGATGGTGCTGTTGAGTTCTTTTATATCTTTGCTGGCTTCAGTTTGGTTGTTCTAAAGCTAAGAGAATGATGTTTGACTCTCCAAGTATGATTTTGGTGTGTCCCTTTGTCCTTTCAGTGCTATCACTTTTTCCTTCATCACACATCTTTTGACTCTTGTGTGGTATATACACATTTAGAATTGCAATATCTTCTTGGTGGATTGATCTGTTTGTCATGATATAATGTCAGTTCCATTTCCTTAATTCAGAGAGCTCACCTGGCTCCTCCTGTCTTTACCCTTCCTGTGCCATAGACTGGAAACTCTCAAGGCAATATGCTAGGGCAACTGTAGGCTCATCTCATTTATTTCCCATCATTCAGGGATGACTGTACTTCATTGCCTGATGGTTCAATGTTTTGAAAACTGTTGTTTCATATTTTTACTGTTTGGGTTTTTTTTTTTTTTTTGCAGGATTGGGTGTTTATAGAGGTTGCAGGGTAAAAGCGATCCTCTTCTACTTTTTACTTATTTATTTTAATTGTTGTTCAAATACAGTTTTCTGTCTTTTACTCCCATCCCAGCCCACTCCTGCCCTGTGCTCCCTACCTCCCTCCCATTTCCACCTGCCTTAGTTTTTGTCCATGTGCCCTTTATATTTTCCTGTAAATCCTTCCCCTTTTCCCCTGAAATTCCCTCCCCTCTCCCCTCTGGACACTGTCAGCTTGTTCTCTATTTCAGTGTCTTTGGTTATATTTTGCTTGCTTGTTTGTTTTGTTGTTTAGTTTCCTGTGATCCTCTTCTTATTCCATCTTTGGTAAAAGCCAAAGTCTCAATATCAGTTTTAGTAGTATTGGATGTAGCAGATTCCTTTCCTGCATTCCTATTCTTCAGATGGCAGTCTAGGAAATTTAGACCTTCAGAAATCTCCAGTTGAATACTATGAATAAGTACTGAGTCCAACTTTGCAATACAGTTCAGGAGTAAAGTTAAATCTCACAAACAAGGATCTGTGACTCTCATGAGAGCCAAGTTTTATAGCTGTTCTGAGTCCACATTTTCTGTATCTCAAAAATCACTTTTGATTCAGTAAGTAGAGCCTCTTCTCCAAATGGTTATCACTAATAGACTAGTAGGTAGAATAGTTTTCTTATAGGAGCCAAGTATTTATGGAGAAGTGGCCAATAAACATCATTATTAGACATTTCTAGACATAGATAACTTTCCCAAGTTTGAGATGTCTTTTCCTCCAGTACATTTGGGTTGTACAAGCTTTTTTTACAGGTACTGTGTGATAATCAATTATCAGTATAGGAGGTCCTTGAACAGTGTAGTTTCATTCAATATTGTTTTGTTATAATGTTTATAAGGAAAAAATCAATTCCTATTTGAGATTACTGTCTGTGTGGATTTGCACATTCTCCCTTTGTCTGCATGGGTTTTTTATGGGTATTCCAGTTTCCTTCCACATTTCAAAGATGTACATGCCAGGTTAATCGGTGTGTCTAAATTGTCTCAATATGAATGTGTCTGTGTGTGTACCTGAGTATGCCCTGTGGTAGAATGACATCCTATCCAGGGTTGGTTTCCACCTTGTTCTCTGTGACCCTGAACTGGAATGAATAGGATAGAAAATAAATATCATTTGTTTTTATTATTTTTTCTTAGATGTATGTAGAGCTCACATTTATTTCAATGTCTAATATTAAAAGTGTTTTGGGTCTTTGTTTGTAGGATTGGTGGTGATTTTGTGACGACCAGAAATGTGGAGTAGGAAGTTAATTCTTATTTATATCAATTGGCCTATGGTAAAATTGGTTTTGTTATATACATCAGTTTGCTTAAAGTCACAGTTTCTAAGAACCTGCTGACAACATTAAGTGAGGACTTACTGTACCTTTCAAATATGGTGTTACCTCGGGACTCATCTTTATTTTGTTTTGGAACTCTTGAGGTGTGCCAAAACCAATGAGTATCGAACAACAAATCATTTTCTCTTGCAGGGTGTCATTGTGGCTCATACCAGTTCTAGCAAGTGCGAAGAGTCCCAAGTAAGCACCAGGTACAGGGTTTGGTGAGTTCTGAAGCCAACTGTACTCATCAGCCAACTGATGAGTACCAAAGTATAACTGTAAATGAATCATGAACATTTATCATCTGAACTTGAAATTAATATTTTATTTAATAAAGATACCTTTGTAGATGGACTGTCATGATGGTATCAGCCTCTACCCTCTCAGTATAATCTTTCTGAGCATGTGTAACATTATAGGGGTATTATCCATCCTTTCCAAGTTTTTCACAAGAAATTTTTCACACTAAACTTAGGATCAGTTCATTGAAATAGTGGTGCATCTCTTCTTTCCTTTTTTATTTATAGAATACAATTGATGAAATTGTGAATAATGTTTTCGGTTGTAGATGATCTTATAAAATCTTATATATCTTTAAAAAATCAAAGATAATCTCATATTTGATTTTTTAAAAAATCTTATATTACTCTTATATGATTATTGACTGCTATGTAGACTGTATTTACATATAAGAAGTAATAACTATTCTGAACATGTATGCACCTAACAACAGGGTGTAAAAATATGTGAAACAAAAATTGTTGAAACTGAAAAGATAAATACACAAATCTACTACTATAGCTATAGACTTCGATACCCCTTTTCCAAGTAATTGAGAGATCAAGCAAGAATAATATAAGATACGATTGGCCTGAATAGCACTATCAATCAGCCTTATCTAATTGTTGACATTTTTGAAATAGTGCACCTAAGAACAACAGAATACACATTCTTCTCAAGCTCATCTGGAACATTCACCAAGATAGACCACATTCTGAGCCATAAAGCACACCTTAACAGATATTTAAAAAATGGAAATCATAATAAAGTATTTTCTCAGACCACAATCAAAGTAGAAATCAATATAAAATAGCTGGAAAATGATCAAAATACTTAAACATTTCACAATATTTTCCCAAATAACACATAAATTAAAGACTAAATCTCAAGAGACGCTTAGAAATATTTTGAAATAAGTGAAGAAGAAAATACA